TTGCCAACTTTCATTTTTTATTATACATATTTCGTCAATTTCTTGTTAAAGAAATTAGCTGTGTGGTTCTATTCATTTCTATATCCTCTGATTTACACAAATTTTAACCGCGTCAATTTTTTATTTATTTCTCATCTAATTTAAATTTGACAAAGTTTAGCGAGAATAAATTATTAATTAATATGACTGCATTATACTACTACGTTCGTTTGCGTATATACGAGTATTTTGATTCACGTGGCAAACCATGATTCCATGATGCATTAATTAGTATTGTAACAATTATTGTTGTTGTTTTAATAAGTTTAGTTCATTTTATTCTATCGCTGTTATCATTCTTATCAATAAGCCAAGGTATGAACAATTGCTCCTTCATGTGACTAAAATAACACTTTCTCAAAAATTGCTTAATTTCGGGAAACGTTTTTTGGCGGCTTATTGATATTGGTGTGCAAACAACAGCAGCCCGAGCTAGGTGGTGGGTGGCAATATGAGTTATAGCTGATAATTGTAATCAATAAGATTTAATAATTATGGCTATCAAAACTTATAAAAATATAAGATAGCTAAATAATATAAACTCTTCATATAAAATCAATCATAATTGTTTTTCTTAAACTACTATTCAATCACATGTAAAAGTCGAAGCTTTGTTATTTTCATTGTTTTATTAGGACTATATAAGTCTTATTTTGTGAACAAAATATATGTTGTGTTCGTAAATTTTGTCTACGTTTTACTCCATTCGATCCTAAATAAACTTCACACTTTTCTTTTTGGGTAGATCCAAAATAAACTTCACACTTCTTCTCCCTTCCTTATTTGGCAAATTATCTACATCAAAACAGTGCAAAACAGTGTCAAACGGTGTTACAACAGTGTAGTCTGCAATAAAGTCAAATTTATTTCCTTAATTTGTGTGAATTCAAAGTGTGAAGTTTATTTAGGACCGGAGGGAGTATATACTACGTAGTAGTATTATATTGTGCTCTTGTCGTGCTTCAAATGTGTTTCCATTGTGCTTCTACTGTGCCGCTACCTCACTTGGTCAAAAAAGGTGGAATCTCCCACCCCAGGAGCCCCCCATACCCCGACCCGACAGGATTTTTGGGAGGATGTTAATCACGGTGACTCAGTCGGCCCAATGATGGTAGGCCTTTTTCCCGTGCGCACCAGAGGCCCAGCCTTATTTCAGGTTCTGTGATCTCCACACGGCCGCTGCGGGTTTCGAACCTTGGTCACTTGGTCCAAATTTCCCATCACTGAACCAACTGAGCTACCCGTGCGGGTAATGCCGCTACCTCACCTTCATATGATGTATCACCTTCTACTTATATGATATATATAATCTAAAGGTATGTTTGAGAGTTGAGTTTTGAGGGTAAGATATGGTTGACAAGAGTTTATGAGTCTCTCTTTCATGTTTGAGAGTTAATTTGAACGTTTTTTTATGTTCAGGTACTTAATTGAGTGAACATTTTGTATGAGGGTTTAATTGATTTTTTTTATATTGTATAGAGACTAATTTGATAGTTTTCCCTAAATATAAACTGAATCATTTGAATTCGTCATATATATGAATTGACTTTAATTATAACTCATTCAAAAAAATTCTTTTCAAACTTGTTACTCCCAAGCAAAAGGGTTTTCGATCAATCTTTTCCTTCTCCTTTTCTTCCAATGACTAACCTTCAAAATCTTCCCCTTTCACTCCCTTCAACCTCCCAAACATACCTAAGAGGAGAGATGCAAAATTTGTGAGATTATCCAAATAAGATCATCTCACGAAGCAACTAGCTTAGTTGGTTGTGGAATCACCCGGTTATCCTAGAGGTCAAGAGTTTAATTTCCGTTGGGAGCTGAGCAATTTGAGCTCTTGTATTCCCTCCCCCTGGGACCCCCCCGCCCCTGACCCCCAGCCCCCCCCCCCCAAAAAAAAAGCCAAATAAGATCATCCTAAAAATACAATAATAAAAGTGGATAAAAAACACTATTAGTTGTAGGAAATTTTAAACACGTTAAAAAACACTACAATCACGTGTGGAAATTGTATTGCTATTTAAAATAAATTACTATGTTTACATAAATTAAAGGACACCCACATATATAAGGTTAAATTAAATTATTGATTGTGTAATTATCAATGGATTGAACAAAAATAACAATATTTCAGGTATTCTGTGAGAAGTAGGCCGGCAACCGGAATTTAGTTACTAAAACATGCATTTTAAATCTTAAATAATCAAAAGGTTATGGTCAACAGTCCATGCTCTTAAACTAATGTACACATGTCACGTCTTTTAATTCAATTAGAGCATATATAAATATAAATATATAATTGATGATCAACGCTAGGAGCTAGCATACATATCGTACACAAAAAGTTTTTATTATATTACTACATTTTTATTGCGTTTCTGTTGCCCAAATCGCTACTTCAATATACTATAAATTCATATTACTATTAAAAACAAAAATAAGACCTTTTAAATTTTGGAATAACTTGAAAGGTTTAACATTTTTTCAAAGGAAATAATTATAATAGCAACAGAATTGAACTAAGACCAAGTTTACTTATAATAAGGCCAACATAAATTTCCCTAAATAGGAGTACCATATTTTTCTTTGAATAAAAACTCACTATATGTCAGAGTATAATTATTTCACAAATGACTGTAAATCAGTATATGGAAATATAATTTCAGATTGAAAATATTTACTTAATTCTATTTGAGAGAAAAGATACATTTTTCTTATTTAGATCAATCTCCCTAAAAATAACTTATTTAGTTCTGAGAAATATATGAGCCGTGTTTTAAGAATAAAATAATAATGATACTAAAATATAAATTAAGCATATGTTACATGTACGTAGGAGTAAAGGTACTGATTACGTGTCGGTATCAATGATATTGAAAATTTGAGTTATAAAGGAATATATTAACAAATACGAATGAAAATGGTTGATTTGGGCTGGTCAAATAAATTCTTTTCCAAACACACTTACAGCTCTTACTCTATACACGTACATTTACGTAGAATATAAAACTTTTTTCTATCGGTCTTGTAAGGTCTTGATAAACACTGACCACAGCCTTAGCATTAATTTGGTCGAAGGTATATTCGAAAATACTTTTTATTAGAGAATATTACCCGAAATAGGACTAAAACAGTTTAAAAATTTCAAAATAGGACTGCCATGTTTTTATTCCCAAAATATGACTAATTACTGCCATGTTTTGGCAGTACCAAACTACAAACATGGTAGCATTTTCTAAACATTACAGTAATTAGTCCTATTTTGGGAATAAAAAACATGAAAGTTATATTTTGGAATTTACAAACTGTTTTGAACCTATTTCGGGAACTATCCCTTTTTATTACTTAAAAGCATATATATATGAGTTTGTACTTCGATCAATTCTTGCATACATATTCAATGCATTTGCCTTGGATCCAAAACAAATGTAAATTAGTTGAAGTATTCTTGTTGTACCCACTTTTATACTCATAATGTATGTGAAATGTTTTTTTTGTCTGTGAATCCGATTCGCAGACAAAATATATACGAGTATGTCTTATTTTGTCTTTGTAAAATTTGTACAGACATATTTTGTCTGTAAACGGAATTCACTGACAAAAAAGTCTTACACAAACATGATGGGCAACCACCAGTATTACCTAATATACTGCTAGTCTACTAATAAATATTTTGTATATGGATTATACTCATATATTTTATCGTGAAGTTTGGATTTGCGATGGAGAAAAATCTCTAGATCCAACTATCAGATAAGTCATTGCAAATGTTCTCGTGTAGGGTAATTTTCTCAAAATATGATGTACTCACTCCTAAAAAGTTTTAACTATTGGTTTTCTTTATTTGAGCTAAGTAATTAAGTCTCATATATACCGAGAATGGACCATATTAGTCATATTTCAATTCACTTCAATGTTTTCCTTTTATTTTGAACAACTTTTTACTTTTTGCAGGTATATATAATACCCATTTCAAAGTAAGGTGCAAATTAAAACCATTAGACGTGAAGTGTGACAACAAACCCACTCTAAAGCAGTGTACAAGCAAATACCGACTAACAATTATGACGTGAAAAGTAAAACAATATTGCACCAAATAACTAATTATGTAGAATAACTCCAACATGCATGAGATCATTTTTTAGTATCATATATGTCCCAAGCAAGGATAAATGATGAGGCTATTGTGGTGGACGCGTGACGGATAACAGTATCACTTACTCACATCACATGACATGAATCGAAATATGAATATCACTATCTGTTTGGCATCAATATCATAGATCGATTCATGTTAGCCGCCCACAAATTCTTTTTAGATTAAAACTTGGATGTTGTTCTTGTCGTAAGTAGTTATGTAGAATAAAGTAATAATGTGATGTTTTTTATTGAAATTTCAATCTCAGAATCAGACTTCGTAATACTCAAATCGGCCAAATTGGTTGATTTTGCTGATTTATATAAAATTTATATTTAAAATATATTTTATTGATAAAATAAAGGAAAAGTTATATGAAAAAATAATTCAATTGCCACTCTACAGTAACTTCAGTTGTTATAGCAAAAAAAACTTCAACCTTACATTTTTTGTGATTACACAACAATTCAGTCCGTGATATCAAACGTTACGTGTTTGATGAAAAGTTGACTGATAAGATAAAAAACAAACTGTCCAAATGAACTCTTAATATAAAACATTCTTTATCAAAGTAAATGGATTCAAATTAGCTAAAATTTAAACAAATCAAGTCGTATGGAACAAAAATTTCAATCCAATTAAAAATATTATACCTCCGCATTTGTTTATTTAGATAAATATTTCCCAAATCTTTACTACAGTAAAAATCTAAGTTGGCCCGACCACAAAAGCTGTGGAGTATTACATTTATTGAGCACATTCCCCGTACGTGTGACGCACTATATATATCTGAACACCATTTGCTCATTCTCCGTCTGCATCTTCTGATCTCGATTATCATTTTTGTTTTCTGCTTAATTTACAATTAATTGTGATTAACGCAAAATCATTTCGGACCGGCTGGACCGGTTGCCGGCCAGAACTATTCCGTAGCAAGAATGGTGAAGTTCTCAAAGGAGCTGGAGGCTCAGCTTATACCGGAATGGAAGGATGCTTTTGTGAACTACTGGAACTTGAAGAAACATGTGAAAAGGATCAAGCTTTCGAGAAGAGCCAAATCGGTTCAAGGTGGTCACGATTTTGGCCGGTCTATTTTCGATCCGGTTCGGGCTCTGGTCCAGAAGCTCTCTGGGATGCTCGGGGATGGGGACGCCGGCGTCGAAAAGCCGGAAAGTTCTCAGGTACTAAACGGGTCCTACGCGTGCTTTCTGACGTGGACTTCGCATATTTTGCGTATTTTTTGTCCGATTGTTTTTATTGATATTTCGGTGTAAATGTTAAATTTACATTTACTTCCAAGATTTTTCAAAATAAAAATCATTTACCTATTTTAAATGATTTTCTATACCAATGATCAAAAAAATAATTTTCTATACCAATGATCAAAAAAATGATTTTCTATACCACTATACTTTAGTTGATGTCTAACATTATCAGTTGGCCAACAAAATAGAAGATGATTACTCCCGCTAACATCAACAAAATAGAAGTTGATGTCTAACATTATCCCGCTAAGAATGAGATAAAAGGGAGTGACACGCAAATCAATAAAAAATATAAAAAGTGGTTTATGTGGTTGATATTGAGTTGATAAAGTAAGAATAAAGTTGGAATGATTTATAGCCACACAAACTTTGTCAAATTTGGTATGTGACAATCTTAGTGGGACGGACCGATAAGGTAAAACGGGACAATCATAGCGAGAGGGAGGTAGTACAGTTTAAGGAATGGATGAACTACATGATTTGCAAATTGATCACTGGTTTTGAAAAAACGGAATTTAACGCTATTTATCTTTGTGGATTTGAAATTTTAGCCCTCTAACTTTCGGTTGTTATTATTATTGGTCCTATAATTTTAATCACTTGCAAATTTGGTCATTTAACTAATAAATCTTTGCAGAAAAATCCGACGCCGGAGACATCTTTTCCGGTATGCTATCGTCGGAAAGTGTACTTTTCAAGGAAAAAAACTTTAAATCACTAATATTTATTAGTTACAGTACCAAATTTTCAAGTGACAAAAGTTACGGGACCAATAATGAAAATGGTCAAAAGTTACGGGACGAAAATTGCAAGTTTCTCTTTATCTTTTTGAACCCTCACCATATGTCGTATATTCTGATCATCCCGTTAAAATTGTCTGGTTTTTCTTTTCTCGATCCGTTCCATCACGATGTATTATACCAAATTTAGTAAAATCTATACGGACTATGATTTTGAGTCATTTTTATTTTATTCATACTGCATTAATTCTATATAACTAACACAAATCGACTTTTCTTAAAAATTGCAACACCCCGTGTTCCAATATTAGTGGGACACATGTAATATTATTTGTCAATGAAAAGCATGAATTTTATTTTTCTATTAGTGGGACACATACAGGTAATATAATGAAAACCATGAATATTATTTTGAATTCCCTAAATAGGAGTAAAAAAGTTTTGAAATTCCAAAATAGGACTATCATGTTTTTTATTCCTTGAATAGGAGTAAATTCTATCAAGTTTGACATTACTAGGCTTTAAAACGTGGCATTTTTTTCCAAATTTGGCAGATTACTCCTATTCAAGGAATTAAAAACATGATACTCCTATTTTGGAATTTCAAAACGTTTTTGCTCCTATTTAGAGCAATTTCTATATTATTTTTCGTTGTAATATCTTTGTATATTTGGTACCTAAGAATAACTGAATTGGTGTATATTACAATCCTCTGTATCACATTAATTGCAACATTGGAATATATACACTATTCACGTACTTTACTTTGACTACATTTTATTTATTAATGTATGTGAATTATTTTTTTGAAAATATTGTTAAATTAATCTCATTACTAAGTTTTATAATCTGATTTTTATTTTATTTTGACTAATAAAGAATTAAATAAAATCACGATCAAAGTTGTGCGTTGGCAAACGTGAAATGTTGACTGTTGCAACTAAAAAAAGATGGAGGAAGTATTAGATTTAACAAGCAAGATAATCCGACGAACATAATAACGTAACTAGATTTTCAATCAATCTAACAAATCAATATTTACCAAAGTTACATAAAAATCGTATAAAATGTCAAACCCAAAATATAATTTAAACTTGTTGAAAATGAAATGTGTTTAATTGAAACATCAAATTAATTAAATTATATATTCTAAAACATTAACTAAGGATGTTTTTACTTGGACTGTAATCTGTTGGTCTGGTCTGGTCTGGTTTGGTCTGAACTGGTCTGGTCTGGTCTGGTTTCTTTGTATTTTTATAACTATCTAAGTCTGGTCTGGTCTGATCTGGTCTGGTCTGGTCTGGGACAAATTACAGTCCAAGTAAAAACATCCTAATACTACGTATATCCTAAAATATCAATTAAGTTAACTTTTATATAAATTTACACTAAAAAATGTTTGTTTGTTTGTTTTTTGAGAAATGTTAAAAATGCTTTTAAGTCTTCAATAATTTCAATTTTTCTGTTTGCTTTAAACTCGTGTTTCTTGTGAAGCCCATACGGAGATTTATGAATAAGACAACAGGTAATACCACGTATAGAAACCATGTTTCACTTTACATGAGGGAAGTTCCCGAAATATAACTAAAACAGTTTGAAAAATCCAAAATAGGATTGTCATGTTTTTTATTTTCAAAATAGGAGTAATTACTGTCAAGTTTAGAAAATACTGCTATGTTTGAAGTCTGATACTGCCAAAACATGACAGTAATTAGTCCTATTTTAGGAATAAAAACATGACAGCTCTATTTTGGAATTTTCGAATCTTTTTAGTCTTATTTCGGGTAATACTCTCTTTATCTAAAATAGGTTCCCCATTGCTTTTCACAGTTATTAAGAAAAAAAAATACTGAGGGTAAACTTTACTGTTTTGACACTGTTGGGGTACTGTTTGGACACTGTTTGACACTGTTTTACACTGTTTGGACATTGTTTGGCACTATTTTGCACTGTTTTGATGTAGTTAATTTGCCAAATAAAGAAAGGGGAACTTAATTTGGGAACTACTCGAAAAGGATAGGGGAAACTTGTTTAAAAAACGAAGGGAGTAATAATTACTACGTATTAATTAAGCTCAAATTTATTTCTCAAGTTTTATAAAGTAGATCCTTAAAAACAGTACGGAGAACCTCATTTTTAATGGTATAAATAAACATGGCGGGAAACTAATACCCATATAAATGTATCAATTTTCTTTGTCATGTCTGTTGGTAAGAGGAAAGGAGGAAGTGTGGTGTCCTCACCACTTGTCACGCTTGATGTCCGATTATTCTTCTACTATATCTTGTTGTATGACAAATTTTAGAGTCTTTGGAAACGGTGAAATTTCAGAAAATTAATTTGGCTGAGATCCCTCAAATGAGGGTAATAATTAAATTTAATAATTATAAAACAAATTTAAAGTATATTTCATTAAATAAATAAATATATAAAATTAATGTGAATAAAATTAAAATGGTTTCTTTAATAAAATTAGTTTAATTCACTCACATTCTCTACTTTGGAGTCCCGTTCCTGTCAAGTCGGTCTGACGGGAACTGCCGTCCGGCCGAGGTCATATCGGACAGTTTCCGATCAAAATTTTTGATGATTTTTTTTAGCATGTTCTTCATCAAGTCTAGTTTATCGATAACAAATTTCAGCTAAAAGTCAATCAAAAGGGCAGTCAAATTTGGCAGGGGATTATAAACTTTTGGGACGCTGATCGAAGGGACTTGATTCGGTCAATCTTATACGGAGTACTCTCTGTATTCACCATTCGTCCGTGCTTGCATTTTACTCCGTATTAAAATTTAAAATAAAAAGATTGTAAACTACTAGCTATATTTGGCATTCTATATATTCCAAATTAATTCATCCAATCGATTATGAATGTCAAATGTTTATGAGCAAATTTTATAAATTGGAGTATCAGATAACAATTTTTTTTAGATGTAAATTTGTTTTCTTTTTATAGAGGTCAAATGTTTGTGCTTCTTTTATGACATATTTTTATTATTTTATTTTTGAAATATAGGAGGCGTTTGATAAATGACATTCCAACTGCAAATGATGATTTGATCACTTTTAGCGTTTTAAATAAGTTAAAAATGTTTGGTAAATAGTTGTTAGATACTGACTTTTTGGATGAAGCGTTGAAATGAAAACGTTGCAAATAGGAGAGAAATATACAAGGAAAATCTTCTCTTAATACTACGTATATCACAGTGAAAATAAAACGAATTATTCTATCATGCATGTTTGCTTTTATCAGCTGATTTTTACATATGTTTCAAAAAGGAAGATATTACGGAGTATATGATCGCAATATAAATAGAAGAGATAAAAACAAAACGTCGTACACTTTTTAAAATAGAAAAATGAGCAGGTTTTGGAATGAAAAAAAGTATTTGAAAGATTTCAATTAATTAAGAAAAAGATAGATGGAGGGTATAAAGTTCGTTTTTTGTATAAGAAGATGTACAGACAATAACACTCAATTAATTTGGTATTAATTAACTAGGTGAATAACCAAAGTAAGGGAGAAGAGAGTGATGGAGAAGAAGAAAATGATCAAGAAATGCATGAGAATAAAAATGAGCTTGTTCAGTTGTTCTCCGAGGAAGATGAGGTAACCATTTTGTATCCGTGCAGTGTGAAGTAGATTCTATTATTTAATTTCTATGTATAAACTCAAAATTGATCATAAACCGATACTCCTTCTGTTCCGTTAAGTTTGTCTAATTCTTTCAATTTGTCCTACTAAAATTGTTTCATATAAAATTTGGTATGACTTGTGTGATTCTAGATCATTTTCGTTTTATTTTTACTTTATCAATACAACATCAATCAGATAAACTCGCTTTATATTAACCGCTAAGCCACAAGTTTCATTGTGGGACGGAGATAGAATGATCAAGTAGCAATCATCTTCTAGGATAGAACGATTTCTACATTTTCGAGGACACTGACGAACTCAAAGATGCAACGTTAATGAAGTAGTGGGCGGAGAAGGAAATGAATAGGAACCATGATTTTGGGATCAACAGAAATGCATCACCCGCACTCTTTCGAGTAGGTTTATATTTAAGCACATATACTTCAAGTCTTCAAGACTTTAATTATGTGGTAGCAGGATAATTAATAAGTTACCACGAACAATTAAATTTTGATTAGCTCAATAACGAAAAGTTCTTTGGTGGGCCTTAACTAGAAAATGCATATCAGGTAAGTTTTTCAACATCATCATGGATATGTATGATGCTTGTACTACAAGTGTCCGCACTAGTGTAGGGAGAACCGCAGATTTCCATATTACTATCGGAGTGCACCAAAGATCTGCTCTGAGTCCTTTCTTATTTGGTATAGTCATGGATGAACTTACGAAGTCAATTCAAGAAGATATATCGTGGTGCATGATGTTTGCTGACGATATTGTATTGATTGATGAGACACAATCCGGTGTTAAAGCAAAGTTGGATGTATGGCGAGAAACATTGGAGAGCAAGGATTTCAGACTGAGCCAAAACAAGACTGAGTATATGGAGTGCAAGTTCGGTGGAGGTAGAAGCAGTAGCAACAGTGGGATTACTCTTGATGGTAAGGAGATACCGGTGTGTGATATGTTCCGTTACTTGGGGTCCATAATTCAGAAGGATGGTGAATTAGATGGAGATGTATGCCATAGAATCAGAATCAGGTGGATGAAATGGAAAAGTGCTTCAGGATTTCTATGTGATCGAGGTATGCCGACTAGACTGAAAGGTAAATTTTATAGTACAGCAATTAGGCCGACATTAATGTATGGCGTAGAGTGTTGGGCGGTGAAGCAATGCCACATTCAAAAGATGAGTGTGACAGAGATGCGTATGTTGCGTTGGGTGTGTGGACATACCAGAAAAGACCGCTTGAGGAATGAGGTAATCAGACAAAAGGTGGGAGTAGCACCTATAGAAGATAAGATGCATGAGTCTCGTTTGCGGTGGTTTGGGCATGTGCATAGAAGACTGAGTGATGCACATGTTAGACGACTTGAGTGGTGGGGAGAAGAGTCAGAGAAGAGAGTGAGGGGAAGACCCAAACAGACTTGGATTAGAGTAATCAGATCTGATATGCGTCTTCTTGGGTTGGATAAGAGTATGGCTTCGGAGAGAGCAAAGTGGAGGGCGCACATCCGTGTATACGATTGATGTCTTGTTTACCTTTCCTCTCTTTTTTCTTTTATCATTTATCTTCCTTATCTTTTTATATTCTTATTTTATTTTTTAATTTCTAGCTTTTTATGCTCTTTTATTTTTTATCATTTATTGGGAAAATGGGCAAATAAGGCCACATACTAACCAAAAAGGTCAAATAAGGCCTTATTTATGAGGCTCTGTCTGGCTTTCGCCATTTGGGGTGGTTCTAGGTGGAATTTTTTGATTAATATTATTTACCATCTTATTCATCAAGTCTAGTTTACTCATACCAAATTTCAGATAAAAATTTAATCGATAAGGCATTCAAATGAATTCTTGAAGATAACTGCGCTTTTAACTACGCAATTATCTTCAAGAATTCATTTGAATGGCTTCCCGATTGAAGTTTTAGCTTAAATTTGGTATGAGTAAACTAGACTTACTGAATAAGACGCTCAAATAATTGCATCAAAAAAGTCCACCGAGAACCAATACAAATGGCGAAGACCGGACAGAGTCTCATACATAAGGCCTTATTTGACCTTTTTTTTGTTAGTACGTGGCCTTATCTGCCCCTTTTCCCTCATTTATTTATCTCTATTTTATTCATTTTATCTTACTTTTTTTTTCTTTTCTTGTCTGTCTTCTTTTTTTGGCATCGATATCATAGATCGATTCTGTTGGGCCGCGGGTATGCGGTGCCAGCAACAGCCAGCCTGCCGGTGCAATCGGACCGCGTGGCGCTTCGCTTGTGCTATAAAGGGGGAAGAGCGTGCTTCACTATCAGCAATTGCTTTTGGTGTAGCGGTAAGCGCAACGATCCACAAGTGGTATCAGAGCCAAGGTCACGGGTTCGACCCCCGGCAACAGCATGCTGCACAGTTGTAGGCTGGCAGGTGCTGGGGGGGAGATTGTTGGGTCGCGGGTATGCGGTGCCAGCAACAGCCAGCCTGCCGGTGCAATCAGACCGCGTGGCGCTTCGCTTGTGCTATAAAGGGGGAAGAGCGTGCTTCACTATCAGCAATTGCTTTTGGTGTAGCGGTAAGCGCAACGATCACAGATTCATGTTAGCCGACCCTAAATTTTTTTGAGATTAAAGCTTGGATGTTGTTGTTGTAGCTTAACGAGAAGAATGTCCATTAATTTTATTGATTTATACGATGAGACTCTCAAATCTAAAACATACTCCGTCATAAATGGATGGTTTGATGGGTTTGACTTGATTCTTTAATTTACTTGGTCTTTAAAGAATGTCCATTAATTAACTTAATCTTCACTTCAAAATTTTTAATCTTCCAGTAACTTGATCTATTGTGAAATGTCATCAAAGAGATTATATTGGTCATCAATAATAGGGCTTCAATCTTAGTTTGTTAACTATTCTTGAAATAAAGCCATACTTCAATCTTGATGTTTATTTATAAGGTATTAATGTACATATACCTTGAATATAATATTCAATTTCGTGGAGATCTGGCTCATCAAGTTAAATTAAATAAAGTTCATAGTCTTGAATCTTCAAACACGCACCTTCAATATTTAAAGCGGTAGAGATATGATTCGGTTCTGAATCAAATTTAGGTGATTCATTCTCCACACAAATTGAATGATCAAAAAACATACGTAGTACTACGTATTATATATATAACCCAGATAGCTGCAAACTAAAAGATTATTTCCTCACATAAACGGCTAAATGATTATTTATAATGTAGCACATAATTATTATTTTATCATCTTCATAAGATAAAAAATTAAGGATCTAAAAATATTTATTTGGTAATATTATTTTTGTTAATGTATCTCTAACAATTATCCACATATACATAATCCTCATAAATATATTAATTTTATTCGTTATCAGCAACGCACGAGTTAATTGACTAGTAAATAAAAGTGTAGTACAATAGTAGTTAAATACGTAGTACTACCTCCGTCCCAAAAAACTTTTTCATTTTCAAAACTTTGATCTGAGATATTTTTTTATTGAAAATAATTTATAATATAAAAATTATATAAAAATGTTATTTGTTAAAATTACTTTCATAAAAGTATAAAATTTATAATTTCCATAATATTATACTAATCAAAGTCAATGTTCAAATTTTTTGAAATGACAAAGTTTTTTGAGACAGATGTAGTATAAAATATGAGATGTGGTGGAGTGCTAATTCAACTTTTGTTTTGAAATAATTCAACATTTTTATTTGATTAATTTAATTATTATTTTTGAAAAGAAAAAATGTGTATGTGTACAGGTCAATGCATTTTTCGAAAAATTGGATGGAGAGCTTAAAAAAGTGAATGAATTTTACAAGAATAAGGAGAGTGAGTTTCTTGAAAGAGGTGAGAACTTAAACAAACAGCTACAAATTCTGTTGGATCTGAAGCATGTTATCAATGACCGTCGCCGGAAACTCCTTGGCGGCTCAAGATCGGCTTCGGGAGGTTTCTCCCGGTCTAACTCCTCCGCCCAAGACTCCGATTCATCCGGTATGTACCAAATCATATCTCCATCTTCTATATATGTGTTCATCAGTTGTTTCATCTGTTTTAAAAAAATACTTCATCCGTTCTTAAATAAGTGTCTCTTATTCCATTTTGATTTTTTTTAATATTTGACCTTTTTCAATATTAAGAAAGTTTTTGAGATAAATACCTCCATCTTTATTACTTTTACCTCTTTTACTTTTGTACGTCCTACTTTCTTTTTCCTACTTTATCATTACTTTACTCTTCTTAATACATTCTCTTTTCTACTTTATCATCATTTTACTATCTAATATACTCTCTTTTCTACTTTACCATCGACACACTCATCTATAAGTCTAATATTAATACCCCTACTATTTTTTCTTAAAATACGTGCCCAAACCTAAAGAGACCATTAATCAAGAAGGGAGGGAGTATAAAGCATCTTCCTAAATGATCTAATACCGATTTTATGAGTTAGACTGAAGTTTTCGGATCACTTAATTTGGTTTGGTTAGTGGAGTTTGATCTAATTTGTTTCATGTGTAATTTAATACGAGTATTGTCTCAATCAAGTCAGATCTGTTTATTTTTTGTTCTCTCCCTTATTAAATCTTAATGATGAATTAGGATATGTTTAGTTGGGGCTAGAAATTTCTGATTTTATCCGTTTAAGTTTGATTTAGTCTGGTCTGGTCTGAACTAGTCTGATATGATCTAGATGAGTTTGATCTCTGTGTATTTTATAATTCTTGAAGTATGATGTGATCCGTTAAGTTTAAGACTGATCTAGGTAGATCTAGTCAGCTGGTCTGATTTGGGATTGAAATAAGTCCAAATAAAAACATCATAACAACGATTAAAAACAATACAAATGTAAAAAGGGAAAATTCCTACATTTTGAAGTCTAGTACTCAAATTATGTATTTCTGTACAACATAAATACAGAAAAACAATTATCACTCCTACATTTTGAAGTAAAATAAATCCCAAATCATGTATAAAAACAACATAAAATTTCCAAATATGATACTCCCTATTATGTTTTACTGTACCAACAATTATCATTCCTACATTTCGCCTAATATTGAAGTATAGTACTCCATAGTATATAACCTTCCTTGCCATAATTGGCATTATTGTTTAGATATACAATGATCTCTCCTAAATAGCGAATAAAACAAAGCTCCAAAAAGCTCGTATCTCTCTATTTCACGTTGTTTATACTCCAATAAAGCTTTTGAGTAAAAAATGGACTTTTAGTCAGTGCAAAGGTTCGAGTTGAGGGAAGTGTTAAAACATTTGTCCCACATCAGAAAGATATAAAAGAATAAAACATTGTATAAGATTTAAAGCTATTTTTCCTATCATGTTAACTTTTTCGGATGGAATCTCAAATCTTAACGTTTGCTTGTCAAAATGTATGAGTGGATGGAATAAGGAATAAGAGATGAGATACTTACATGCAATGGACTAATAGTTCATCATCACCCTCACCAATAAAGTTTCGTTGACAATGGATTCTTCTCATATATAGATTATATGCTTCTTAGTGGATTACACAACATTTCATTTATACAGAATCCACTCCCAATCTCAATGTATGGTGACCATTTTACTGCATGCACTCATAATGAATATATATACTCGTAGTATAATACACCAGCCCGCTTATTAATTAAAATTAAATGTAGAAGGGCTTTGTACTTAGTATTATAAATAAGCCTTATTATGCAATAATAAAATATTGCACAACTTTAATTAGGAAACATATTTTAATTATATATAAATACTCCGTATTCTTACTTTTTTTCTTCTCTTTCTTGTCCATCTTCTCTGCTTGGCATCGATATCATTGATCGATTCATGTTAGCCGACCCCAAATTCTTTTGAGTTTAAGGCTTGGATGTTGTTGTTGTTGTTTGTATAAATACTCTGTATCACTTTTTACACTTCGTATTATAAAACAATACTAAAATAGGAATCCTTAAACAAATAAAAGAATGTGCATTCTATATTATATAGACCATATTTTTAATTTTTGGGCCTTCAGAATCTAGAGGTCCCGCGTTGTAGCACTTCTTGCACGCCCTAATAGACAACACTAATAACACATACGGAGTACTCCATTGATCCAAAAGGTGGAATCTCCCACACCAGGAGCCCCCCACCTCGACTCAACAGGATGATGGGGAGGTTAGCCACGGTGACTCAGTCAGCAGAATGATAGTAGACACATACACCCGTGCGCACCAGAGACCCAGCCTTATTTCAGGTTCTGTGACCTCCACCCTGTCACTGCGGGGATTCGAACCTTGGTCCATGATACAAATCTCCCACCACTCGACCAATTGAGCTACCCGTGTGGGTTATTATATTTACATATTAAGCTACGGAGTACTCCATATTACACACGAGAGTACACCATATGAAAGATAATTGTTTTTCCAAAAATAAATAGGCAGCCCGATGCTTAAAGGCACCCCCAAGGTGAGAGTTCAACGAATAGTCCCTCTACAAACGTGTATGAGCAACAAGTCTACCTCTGATCTATAAAATTTTGACAAAGGGTCCGTTCTCAAGACTTGAACGCGTGAACTCTCCTTCCATCCACCGTTTTTTAAATAAATAAATAAAGAAAAAATTATATGTAAAAATAGCTAAAATGATCATCTACAGTAATTTCAGTCAATACAGCCAGAAAAGTAACTTCAACCTTACTTTTTCTTATTATCACACAATTCAGCGCACAAAAACAAAAAAAATTGTGTGCTTGATGAAAAATTTAGTTGATAAACCTAATAAGCCGAAAACAGTGTTACCAATTCAAGGGCCTCTAAATAAGATCTTAAATAGAATGAGTGAACGACCAAAAAGTACATTAAAAAAGGATTCCTTTTTTTAACAAAAAAAGGAAAACTTAAAAAATCTTAAATAGGCAAACTTAACGACCATAAGCTTGAAAAGGGTCATGCACATAAAATTAAAGTAAGGAATGACTCAATAAAGATTCCACTCTAAACAAATAAATCTATCTTATTTGCTTTATTAAACATATAATGAGCTCATTTGGTAGCACGAAAATCGTCTGATTTGGTTGATTCTGCTGAAATTTATGAAGTTCTGGCTGAAGTGGCTGCATTGGCTGATTCTGCTGATTTAATAAAAAAATAATTTTTAAATATTTTTTATTAATGAAATAAAGAAAAAATTATATGTAAAAATAGTTAAAATGGTCATTATAGTAACTTCAGGCAATACAACCAGAAAAGTAACTCTAACCTTACTTTTTCTGCTTATTACACAATTCAACGCGCTAAAGCAAAAGTTACGTGTTTGGTGAAAAAGTTGGTTGATAAGCCTGATAAACCGAAAACAGTGTTGCCAAACGGCCTCAATATATGCTTGTATTTCAACTTAAATTCTACATGTTCTAATTAATTTCTTGAATCATATCTGTATTATCTTTTTGCCTTACATAAGTGTATTCGAATTGTTGAAATTGAATTTCAATATACTAAAATTTGAGAAAAACTTATTTTTCATAATTTAACTTCTTTTTACATAATTCAAAAAGTAATTATCCTTCTCCGATGTCTCCAAAATTTTGTTCCCTCCTGACCAAATCTTGAGTATGCATTCAGAACGTACTATCGCATGAATGGGAAACCTAATGAAAATAATGTCACGCGTCATCAATCACTAGCAGCATTGCTCCCTAAATTGTAGAGACGTGCAATCAAGCATATATTGTTCCACTTGAATTGAAGTAACACTTATTTATAACTCATTATATTAAAGGGGCTCATAAATAAGAGATGGGTAGATGCATACGTGTATTTGGTTATGAGTCTACCATCTCAAAATTTGTACAAACATATAACATGAGAGATAGACACATAATATGATTGACATTATTGAGAAACAATTATTCATTCCAAATTACACAGAACTCTGTAAAAGAAAAGAAGAAAATGTCATTAATTTATTTTTATGTGTCTATCTCATATCACATGCGCATCATGCACATTATTACATCAATCAATCAGATCAGAGATGTTTTAAGCCAGCCATTATTTGTACTTCATTTCCAATTCATTATGTATAGCAGACACATATGCTTGATGAATGATTTGGTTACTTTTCGTTGATCATTTTCAAAGCAACCTTAGTTTAAATTTTATTTGAAGCATTAAGGGGTGTTAAATATCTTGTCCAGTACTTAGATCATCTCGAACGGTTCATTTGGAGAACTTTCTTACAACTTTAAAATTAATAACTTACCATTGGAGTATTAATTTTCCTTTTGCTTGAGAAAGCTGATTAGTCAAAATGAGCTACTAGCTAGCTAGCATGAGCAAAAAGAATTATTAAATATAACATTATTAATATTAAAAGGAAAAAAGAAGTTACAAAATACTAGCTAACAATAATTAAGTACCTTTTAATTTTGATGCAAATGCTTATGCTAATTAAGTCATAAGCACAATTAACTAACCGCTGGAGATGCTCTTGTTGCGCTAATAAGATGTTTCTGTTGTGGATTGAGGATGTTTTCTCTTAGACTATTTTCAGTCCTAGATCAGACCAGATTAGATCAGATTAGACCAGATCAGACTTTCGTAGTTATAAAATACACAAAGACCAGACATTTACAAGGTCAGTCCAGTTCAGACCAAACCAGCAAATTTCAGTTCAAAAGAAAACATCATGAGTCATCGATTTTGACATGAATCCTTTTTAAAGATTGCTTAAAAGTTACTTTCCTTTTGAATTATTTAAAAATAATTGTCATATTTTCCTTTTTAGAAAGAAATATGTGATTTACTTTTAGTTTATTATAATCAAATCTCAACTATAACTTTTATTTTATCAAACATTTCATATCAAACTAAAACAAGACATTTAGCTCAAACAACATAGTGTAACATACTACGTAGTAGACTAGTAGTATACAAGAATGGTACGAAACTACAAATAGAAGAATAATACTGAACAAATATTGCAAAAACATGCAGTAAAATCGTATGCTAAATTTGACTTGTTTTTATCTTTTTTTATACGTGAGAATCATCGGAGGCTGAGTTTTGATTTTCATGGAGCCTCTCTTCAAGTTTTTACCAATTGTAGACAACGATGTGCTTTAAGTTTATACTTATATATCAAATGAAAATGCTTGATCATGATGTTTTAATTGTTGGATGTTAGAGTACGTATAATTAAGATTTCGGAAAGAATTTCACGCAAATTCCTCATCTGAATATGATGGCAAAAAACAACCATGAGATCAATTATTGTCCAATACAAAAAATACAAAAATTCAAAAACACTTGATTGAATTTCTAAAGTTATACTAAAAAAATTCAAAAAATAAGTTATACTCAAAAAATCAAAAACACTTGACTAGATTATACTCAAAATTAAAGTTTTTTGAAAGAGAGATAGAGAGAAAGAGACTCAAAATTAAAGTTCGAAAACACTTGATTAGATTTCTAAAATACATCCCCTCATCCTCCAATTAATTTCTCATTTCCTTGAAGTTTTGAAATTACGTTTAAACTTATAATTTTTGTAATACTTGATCTTTTTTTGAAAGATAAAAACTTAATTCATATTAATAAGATCATTATCCAAAATACATGATAAGAAACCCAGAGGATTAGAAAACCAAACATGCAATTCAGACAAAGAACAAGCAGCTTTAGTCAGAGCTGAGCTGACTTGTTCGCTGAACGCTTAACCTGACAAAAAGAAATATGTGTCGAAAGATTTCTTATATCATCTTCTACCACCCCGATGGAGGAGTCGCTTGAACCCTTCACGATTTCTGAAATTGCACCAGAAGCATCGGACTCCACATCGATAACCTCCCACTCGAAGCCGTGCAGCCAACTTAATGCTTCCCTTATGCCCACCAGCTCCGCCATCAAAGGTGAGAGTCTCCCTACCCATGACCGAGCTGGTGCTGCAACAAACAACCCCCTGTCATCTCTTAGGCACCATCCCAGGCCACAACCCGATTCCCGCCAAACAGCCCAGCAACCCCAAATTAATTTTTCCAACGCCTCTTTTCTTTTTTATCGGAACTCCCCTTCAAGCTGCTCCAAAAAACAGTTGGTCCCACACTCTACCCATTTCCATCCAATAGCTCTCCACGCCTCTGTAGCAATTTTGCAGGAGATGAACAAATGGCTCAGAGATTCATCTGATTTCTCACACAGTCCACACTCCCAAGAACAAGTCACCCTTCTTGATTGAAGATTGCCCTTGATCGGCAAGCAACCAATGCAAAGCTGCCAAAAGAAGTTTTTTATTTTAGGAGGAAGCTGCCAATTCCACATGACAGTTCAACCTAACCAGCCCTGCAGTGAACAATCATCAACTAACATTCTATAACAGCTCTTCACTGAAAAAGACCATTACTCTCCCACCTCCAACAAAGTTTGTCCGGAATCTCCCTTAAACTAATTGGAATACTCCGAATAAGAGAGATATCCCTGTCATTAAACAAGTCTGCCAGTACATCCTCATCCCATTCCCAGCTCATGACAGCAAATAAGTTAGCCACCGAAGCCTCCTGTAATCCACTAACTTCAACCGACATAACCCTGGGGTTAGACGTGTCTGGTAACCATGGATCCTTCCATATACGAATAGATTTGTCATCTCCAACTCGCTAATAAAACCCATTCCGAATAATATCCTGGGTCTGGAAAATACTTCTCCAAATAAAGGAAGGATTATGTCCAATAGAGGCATTTAAAAAACTCCATCTTGGAAAGTATCGAGCCTTAAAAACTTTCCCTACCAAGGAATCTGGACAAGTAAAAATTCCCGCAGCCGCTTGAAACCATTTATTAAGATTTCAATTTCCTGGCATAATTCATTGGGAAGCAAAAAAACGTTCATTGCATAAGTTGGCATAGCCTGAATCACTGATTTTAAAAGGACCTCTCTGTCAACTTTGGATAAAAATTTGTTATTCGAGCTATTAATTCTATTCACCACCCTTTGACGAAGGTAACTCCAAATTGCGTTTTTGCCACAATCCACCAGCGCCGTAACCCCAAATAAGTCTCATCACCCCTGGCCATGCCAACCCCCAGAAGCTCTATCAATCCTTCCCTATGTTCGGCCAACACATTGGAGCTAAAAAGACTTTTGATTTATGATAGTTTATTACCTGACCGGACGCTCCTTCTTAATCAACAAGAATATCTTTAATCAGGGCAGCTTCACTGTGATTAGCTCTAAAAAATAGAAGACTATCATCTGCAAAAAACAAATGAGAAATCAGTGGGGGACCCCGAGCAATAGAAATCCCATGTAAACGGCCCATACTCTCATAATTACATAATAAGGCGCTAAGACCTTCAGCCACTATCAAGATAAATACAGATATAGAGGATCTCCCTGTCTGAGTCCCCTCTTCGGTATCGAAAGCTCTATCTCTGTCATCAAAGGGATTTGAGTATGACACCGAGGTGACACACTCCATAATCAACCTCACCCACCTATCATCAAATCCCATGTGCTTCATCATACCTTCCAGGAAAGACCATTTTACCCTATCATAGGTTTTGCTCATATCTAATGTTAAGGCCACCATCCCCAGCTTACCTTGTCGTTTCCTCTTCGGCCAATGTTGAGACTCAAAAGCCAACATAATACTTGATCTTACTAATGAGCGAATGGATACGTATGTGTTTAAGCTCAAGTGAGAAATTTATAAAAGCAGGAAATGTGAATGAATCTTGACGGTAATTTAAGATTCGACAAAAAGCTGACTGCTTGATTTAATTATGTTTGGTATAACAAGCTGTTGTGACTAATTAATGCTAAAAACTACTGACTTTCTCCCAGATGTTACCTACGCTAGCATCTCAAAAAAGATCTTTTATTTTGTAAAAAACTCTTAAAAATTATCATACCAAACATACAACTAAAAGCTTTTGGAGACTTCTTAAATAGTACAAAAGCTAGAAGGCACTGGCTTATGCCTACAAACATGCACCTAATGTGAGAGAACAAGTCTAATTAATCTCTTCTTTTTTTGAAAAGAAAATAACTTAACTATTGTTGGTAAGGGTAACAATAAACATAACAACTAAAAGTTGAAACATTACAATCATAGCAACTGATGAGTAGATCTAAAGGATATAAATGAACAATGACATTTTGGTAATAGAATCAAAAAACGTTAATATACAATTGTTTATTTCATTTCAAAATATTATGCAACACTCTGAACGGTTAATATGCAATACAAATAGCGTAAAGATGCATCATACTAATATTAGGTTGTTCTGATCGGAACCATCGTGTAGAATTCACCGTTTGAGCTTATGTGAGCATGTTCCTCATAAAGTATAGGTTATGTCCACAAAGTTTCAATTTAGAATTCGATTGACAAGTCAGTTAAATAAACTATTGAAAAACATTGCGCGTTATATCTATAAAGCACAATTCTTGTCAATTATTTATATAAATGACTCTCCGGTTGAATTTTAAGCTGAAATTTTATGAGTATTATCTATACTTTATGAAAAAACTTCTCACAAAATGTCATAAAATTTTTTAACCGAAAATCACCTCAAACGATAAAATATTTTGCATGGCGTTTTCAATTAGGAGCTCCTGATATGAAGTGCTCTGAATTTATAAGTGTCACAATTGCTTGTTTTAGGATTTGGGCATTCTTTCAACATGTACCTTTAAAATCGAATTCATAAAATGTAAAACACAGAGAACCGGAGCGAATGTTGTGCGAGTCCGGCAATGGAGAACAACACAACATCGGAGACAGACAGTGTGATCACTGCATTAGAAAAGAATGGAATAGGCTTTGTTCACACTCTGACAAATAGGGGGAAAGCAAACAAGGGAAAGCCGAAGATGGGAATAAGAATTGAGATTCCGGCCACCACCCCAACACGGGCCATCTCCACCGTTGCATCAATGGTTTTGGAAGATTTTCTCAACAACCCCATCAAAGAAGGTGAAAGAGAATATGTCAACAATAGAAAAATCCAATGTGCTGAAAAGATGATAAGAAAGGCTTTTGTGGAGCTCTACCGTGGCCTTGGATTACTAAAAACATACAGGTTTGATTTTGGCCTTGGTTTCTCATCCTATCCTTTTTCCACTTAATTAAAAATAATAGGTGAAGAGATGATATCCTGCAAATAAGTGAGAATACTAGGATGTTTTTACTTGAAGTGAAATTTTCTGATCTGATCTGGTATAATATGGTCAGGTAAATGTCTGCTCATTGTGTAATTTACAACTGTCAAGGTCTGGTCTCATCTTATATGATCTGGTTTGGACTGAAGTAAGTCCAAGTAAAAACATTGTTATAGCAAAAATGCATTTTATTGGTCCAAGTTAGTAATAAATTAATTGTTTATGTTTGAATTACTGAATTATAATATTCTAAATAATGATCATGTACTTAGCAAAGCGTTGTTTTATAAAGTTCAAAAGAAAGAAAGAAAGAAGTAAAATGAAAAAGAAAAGAAAAAATGTAGAAAAAATGATGTGGGCCACCACGTGTGCGTCGTGTCAGGCCACATGTGCACCGTGTCAACAAGTAATCTAGTGACCGATGGATTACCTGTCAAAAATCCATTTTGAAGCAAATTACATAATATAAGGACGTAATTGGTGAAAGTTAAAGTGTAGGAAGACCCATTTAACACTTCTCTATTTACAAAAGTATAGAACATGATTATGGGACCTAATTGAGTTTCTGTACAGGGTAGAATGGCCCATTTAACACTTCATTTTACAAAAAGTATAGAACCTGATTATGGGGGATGGACGACTGTTTAGTTCATTTTTGTTAGAGTGTGTATCTTTTTCATCTTTGGTTGTTCTTTTGATATTTTGAGTACAACTTTTCACATTTTTCCATAAGTGCAATATGAAATGTTACATGACAGTTTACAAGGAACTGAAGGGAATAAACTGGCGGTTTGGCATTTATCGATCAGCGGATAGTGAATTATGTTAACGGGTTATTAATAACGGATTCAGTAAGCGAGTTTGACTAGAACAATAAGTTGTCAGGTTGCCAGAAGATGATTGATAATTTAGCTGTTTGACCATAACAATTAGTAGAAAACGTCATATTTCAAAACACAAATCCAAAACTCTCCTATTTGCAGCCTTTTCATTTCAGCGGTTCCATCCAAAAAAAACTATGGCGGTATAGCTATTTAACAAACAACATTTCAGTTATTGAAAACACTAATGAGGGTCAAACCGTCATTTTTGGCTGAAAAGCAATTTTCCTAACACACCCAATAACATTAATGATGATGATGATGATGATGATAATGATAATGATAATGATAATGATAATGATAATGATAATGATAATGATAATGATAATGATAATGATAATGATAATGATAATGATAATGATGATGATGACCCAATAACATTAATAAAACTCATAAACCTTAACTCCGTGATATTTGTTTCAACTCAGTTGAAATCTCTTATATATATATATATATATATATATATATATATATATATATATATATATATATAACTCCAGACTAAACATAATGCGCATTAGAAGTGTGTTAATTAAGAAATCAGAAATAATTCCATTGTATTAGTCCACTTACAAATGGAAATCATGCATTTGTATGAAAAAGAATGTATTCTACCGTGAAACATGTAGAGCCCGTTTGGTGAGTCTGTTTTTCGGCTTATCAGGCTTATATCGATCAGCTTTTTCACCGGCCAAACACGTAACTTTTGATTTCGCGCACTGAATTTTGTAATAAGCAGAAAAGGTAAGGTTCCAGTTACTTTTCTGGCTGTATTGGCTGAAGTTACTGTAAAGGATCATTTTAACTATTTTTTCATATAATTTTTTATTTAATTTATTAATAACAAATATTTTAAATACTATGTATAATTTTTTCATGAATCAGCAGAATCAGCCAATACAATCACTTCAGCAAGAACTTCATAAATTTCAACAGAATCAGCCAATTCAGCCAATTTTAGTGTTACAAAATGGGCTCGTAGACTTTGAATATTGACAAATGACAAATGATTTATTGCGTGAAAGGGGGAACCCCATATTGAAACGAATAATAGAAATAGTAGTTTTCATGATTATTTGTTTTATACTTGTGTGTGGTTCTTCCTCCTTTTAGGGTAGATAAGCAATTTTGGAAATGATTATTTTTTAGGGGAAGTGAAGCTTTAACGAACTTAACTCTGTCAACATATTGCAAATCATAATTAATTAACATCTTCTTTTAGAATTTACTCAACCATTTGATGTTATCCTAATTTGGCAGCTCTCTCAACATGGTGGCTTTTGTGAAGATCCTTAAGAAATTTGATAAGGTGCGCAATGTATATGAAGTATTTTGTTAAGTGTTCCATTAAATATTTTTATTCAACACCCCATGGTCCCACCACATTTCTCTCATCATCATTATGAATTTAGGATCGATATATATATTGTTATTATTACCATTATCACTATTAGTTTTACCATTATCATTATCATTATTTTTCTTATTACAATAATACTTTTATCATCTTCATCATCATCACTATTATTATTGTTATTATTACTATTAATGCTATATATGTCATTATTGCTATTGTACACATTACTTGGAAAAGTAATACAAGTATATGATTGGTACACATATTATTAGACTAGATAATATCTGATAAATAAATTAAGGCTTACATGTGATTATTGTATAGATGATTTTTTAGGTCATTGTCTAACTCTAAGAGACTAAGACCATCTACTGATCTACAATGAATAAAAAAATTAATGTGGATTCCATAACACGAGTTCTTGATGAATAGAGTTTATTACTATTAACTTGTACTCAATCAGTCACATATCAAGGTCATGATCAACTTTGCACGATCAATATAACTTTAGGGCTCGTTTGATAGTTTAAATTTTAAATCTTTGCACGCGAAATGATTGCATGCAAAGTTTAGGCAATCAATCAATTTGCATGTAAAATAGATGACATTATTTGGCTAGATATACAATTTATTTTTAATTTGCACGAAAAGGCGTTGCAATGTTTTATAAAAAGCATGGAAAGTGCTTTACCACCAACCCCTCGTAAAATACTATATATGGTACGGTGCGAAATGTTTTTAAAAGTATCATACAGTTTACATTAAATAACCAACCCAAATAGTGTAAATCTTTTATGTCCTTCCACTTCACATGTAAAGTAATTATTTTACATGTTACCAATCGTCCTCTTAATGTAAACTTTAATTTCATATATTTGGTTTTAATTATTTTCACATTTATTTTTGCATTCAGTAGATTTTGTAGCATAGTTTCGATATAGGTAGCACACTAACACATATTTTAGCAATAAATGATTTATTTTATAATCGATCAACCATCCTAAACTAATAAGAGAATTTCAAAATTGGGTTCAAGGAGTTTTAATTCTAAACATGTTTAAGCAGTTATTAACCATACTTTATAACCAAACACTCAAATTATCACTACATATTCATGACTTAGTATTATGGTACAAATTATAATTTCAAACTGATAAATATTTAACCGCAAATATGTAAGCAAATTTTAACAAGCTAATAATGAACATAAACATGAACCATTGGACTTGGTAATCGTTCTTGTAGAACTCCGCATTACTAGATGAATTGCAATTGTTTGTTTTTGATAACTTTTAGACTTATAATATTTAGACTTATAAAATGATGTGATTCAGGTATCTAATCAGGAGGTATCCACATGTTATCTCAAGCAAGTGAAGATGTCATATTTCGTTAGTTCAGATAAGGTGAAATAGAGACACATAATTTTTGCTTAATTAATTAGTTTGCTACCATTTTTGCAATTATAATGAAAGTTTTCATATTTATTTTTCACTTTTCATCCTTTATTTAGATTTACAGCTAAATATTCTATGACATTTTAGTCAATTTTTAATCATATAGGATAATAAGAGTCAGAAGCGGAGGTAGAGGGGGGGGGGGGGGGGGGGGGGGGGGCAACCAAGCCCCGGCCCACCCCAAAATCTAAAAATTATTTATATTTTTAGTGTAAAAATATACTACGTATGTGTAAAAATTTATCTGAAACAGTTCTTTATACCAGTCCACCTCGAACTTCGATTCTGGCTTCGCCCCTGATAGGAGTGTATAGAGTTATGCTTCTGAAAATTTTAATCACCTAAAGAATATCTTTAATTGGAATCGCATATAACGGGAAAATTCACAAATTCATATAATTTATTCATATTATATGTCAAATATGAATCGTGCAACTATTTTTAATTACATGCGAAATACCAATTATCATGTCATACTGCGTATTTTTCTTTGATTTCCTATTTGAACTTTTAAATCATTTTTAGTTTTATTTTCTTTTAGTATGTTTAGTTTTCTTTCGTATGCTTTAAGCATTAATATAACATTACATGTTAACTTTTGTCCTGTTTAAAAATTTAAACTATTTTAAAATAATCAAAATTTTATCTTTCCATATCACCAATAAATACTTACAAGTTACAATTACATCTTTACATATAATATTAGTTGTTTTTTACAACTTATTAATTTCTACTAAAATTAATTTTTATTACATACTTTATTCGTACCTTATTTTATTCATTAATTATTTGCACAATTTTTAATATATCATAAATAGTGTGATTACAACTTGTTTCGTGAAATTGAAATTATATCAACCATGAATTGTTTTATTCAGAAAAAAGTGATGATGGTTTTTAGGTGAAAAGAAAAGTATAATAGCGTGATATTTTGTAGAGTTAATAATTTGTTAAACTTTACCCCCTCCCCCCGTAATATTTTTTGATAATATTTGAGTGGTTACCATTCATTCTTACGTTATTCACACTTTATTAATTCAATATCAACCATATATTTCCACTTTTCTCAAAAGTCACACCATGTTGTCTTGTCCCAATCTTAGAGGGATGAAGATAGTAGTTTGTATTGTTCATTATTTATGTAATGTGCATGATATAGTATTACAATGCAGAGTCATCGTCGTACCCCCCCTCCCCCCCTCCCTACCCCCACCCCTCCGAACAATATTTTAGGATATGTCACTGCATATCATGTCATATATTTAGGGAAAGCTTCATTTTTAGTCTTGTAATTTTTGGATGTTTCCATTATTAGTCTTGCAACTTTAATCACTTGTAAATTTGGTTCGATAATTTATTAATCTTTGCAATTTATGAACTTTTTTCCTGAAAAGTACAATGTATGGGAAAAAATATACCGGAAAAGATGTTGTTGACGTCGAATTTTCGTTCAAAAATATTTTTTCAATGGAAATGTTCTTAAATTGAAATGATTTATTACTTGAAGAACCAAATTTGCAAGCGAGTAAAGTTACAACACTAATAACGGTCATAACAAAAAAAATATAGGATTAGATTTGCTCAAATTAAAGTATATCCCATTGAAATATACTATTTTCGACAAGAAATCTATATTTGTGACGACTTTGATCTTCGAGTGGACTTTGGAGCAACTGATGCATTCCTACGAAAACCATTTCATGTGGACAAACTTATATATTAAAGGTATAAATTGTAAGTAAGTTATTAATTAAAGGGAAAAGGGTCAAATAGGCCCTCGAACTAATTTAAAAGTGCAAATCACCCCTTATATAGGAGGCTCTGTCCGACCGTCGTCATTTTGAGCAGTTCCCGATGGATTTTTTTGATGAAATTTTTTTAACATCGTTTTCATTAAGTCTAGTTTACTCATACCAAATTTCAGCTAAAAATTCAATCGGGAAGGCACTCAAATGAATATTTGAAGATAACTGCGCAGTTAAATAGCGCAATACATTTCAGAAAATCATTTGACTGTCTTCCCGGTTGAATTTTTATTTGAAATTTGGTATGGGTAAAGTAGACTTCATGTAAAAGATGCTCAAAAAAATTCATCAAACATTTCTACCGTAAATCTCCCCAAATGGCGAAGGCCGGACATAGCCTCCTATATAAGGGGTGATTTGCACTTTTTAAGTTAATTCGAGGGTCTATTTGACCATTTTCCCTTAATTAAAAGAACTTGTCAGGCTACAAATGGTTTCAATAATATACTCTATGTTCTGTTGAATTTTGCCAACTTACCTTTTCATTTGTCTCAAAAAGATTATCATTTTCTTTCTAAAGTTAAGAAATTATAGTTCAGCTAATTTCTCTAAACTTCAACAGCAAAACGTTTACTTTTTCTTTATTTCACACTGAACATAAAGTTGGTAATAATGAAATAGAGGTAATAGTAATATTTAAATAATCTCTAACGAGTGAGATCACTCATATATCAAGCTGAACTAGATTGTAACGTCACACAAAAATCTAACAAGACTTAAACGAACGAGATCGATCAATACAAATCAAATTTGGAAACTCAAACCGTAACAAACTAGCAAGAAAATTGATTTTTTGTTCAAATCATTTTTTGTTGTACAAATCGTTGAGTTCTTGTTTTTCTTGTATTTTCGAGTTTAATTTATCCCTGGATTGTACTCGAGAATACTACACAAGTATTTATTTATCATTGCAATATATATACTGATTACTACGTATTAATTAACTAACTTATATACAACACCTCAGTGAGCATAGCAACTGTTATGAATTATATTGACCGAGTAGTGTAAATTAGTGTGTTTCATTACAAATTTCTTTGTTTTTTATATGAAATAATCTCTATCATATATTGCACCAACATCCTTCATATATATTGTAAATATATGTTGGTGTGCTCATTAAATATTTTGCTAACTTAATAACTTTTACTTGGAAGTTTTAGATTGATAAGATTGTAACTTGAAATAAAGCTTTAGAGTATATACATCACATTTTGTTTTGTTTTTTCATTTAACAAATCCATTCAGATTTAAAACAATTATAAGTCTAATTTTGGGAATGGGGTGCAACAATTAATCTTTTGTTACAAAATGGGATGACACATTTTTTTGAAAATGCGATATGAAGTATAATTTTGCCTAAACTATAGGGTGAAAAGTCAAATTCCCTAACACATAAAATGTACATGGGTGTTATTACTTGTTAGTGTGTTTGTGGATGAGAATTTGGTTGTAAGTATTCTATTAACATATATTTACTGTCATTATTATTTATTAGTGTCACTGTTTTTTGCAATTGTTTTTTGCTAAACATTACTATTGTGTATTTTTGTGAAGGTGGTTAGACTAATGGATGAAGTGGAGTCCTTATTTACGCAGCACTTCGCTAAAAATGAACGGAAAAAGGCAATGAAGTTTTTGCGACCACAACGGCCGAAAGAATCTCACATGATAACATTTTTTTCTGGTAAGAAATAAGAAATGCGGAGTAATTTATAGACACCGTATTGTATATTTATATGTAAATTATAAGAAGTGCAGAGTAATTTTTTTCTTAGCTAGTTAGTTACCTTATGTTGGATTATAATCTACCATCTTTTTTGAATAGCCAAATAATAGGTTTGTTTATGTAGGGTTATTCACAGGATGCTTCGTCACTTTATTTGGAGTGTATGGTATATTGGCACATTTGAGTGGTATGTTTTCCACTCGAACAGAATCCGGCTATGTTGAAACGGTCTACCCAGTTTTCAGGTAAAAATTGGACATATTCTGTCAGTTTAGTTTGCACATATCATGCAACACGTACATTATATTATTATTATTGTTGTTGTTGTTATTGTTAATTTTATTGTTATTGTTATTGTTATTGTTATTGAAAATACAATGCATTATATTTGGTTAAAACGCAATGACATTTTTATAAATAGGTAAACGTTTTCTTCACCGCGAAAAAGTGCAATATTCGAATCGACAAGTGCGGTGTAAAGTCAAATTTAAACTTCTTCACTTTTAAAGTTAAACATTTTCTTATTTGAACCACATTCTATATGTGTGAATTATTTTACATTCTTTTTGTTCATTCTTGGGCATGAAATTCATATATAAAAATATACAAGAAGGGCTATAGGATCCTGAGTAGGATAAATAGTGATCAATTTCTAGATAGAGAAAGTGTAATGAATTTTTCATAGTAACAACATAATTCCGTGACCTTAGAAAATGTGGGGAAAAATCCTTTTACATTACAAATGGTACCTATATATAGAAGATTTCACACACCTATGCAGTGACATGGACCTAGGTCCTAAATCTTGATACTACACCTACAAGTTCTCGGCGACCCCAATCCCAGATAACACATAGTAATAGCACTATTAGTAATAGTTCTAATGATACGAACAATTGATGTAATAATTTTATTTGGTGAATTGCAGCATGTTTGCCCTATTAAGCTTGCATGTGTTTTTGTATGGGTGTAATCTGTTTCTGTGGAAGAACACGAGGATCAATGTAAACTTTATTTTCGATCTACAACCAAAAACAGCCTTAAAATACAGAGATGCTTTCCTTATTTGCACCTCCTTGATGACTATTGCTGTTGGAGCTATGGTCGTCCATCTCATTCTCTTATCTAAAGGATTTACTTCTAATCAAGTCGATGTCATTCCTGGCATTCTCATTCTGGTCAGTCATCATATAACTCTTTCGCTATACATGATATGACTATTTGAATGAGCTCATTTGTTAAGTAGTAATGATAAAAATAATAATTGATTCATGACAAAGATAACAATTTTCTAATAATATACGGAGTACATATTAAATAGTATTAATAGTTAGAATCTATATATTCAGAAACTATTTTATAAGTTCTATTGATTCAAAGAAATGAATTACGAATATGATAACACATTATTCTATAAAATCGAAGATAAGAAAAGAGTTAAATTGACGAAATAATTAGTGTATGAGAACTCAAAAATATATACACAACATTGACACACACACACATATATACACACACACATATATATATACCATATACAACCTTTTTAAAAATAATCTCATGATAAAGTATTACCCGTTAACTATTAAAGTACAAATATGACCCTGCTGCTGATTTGAACATTAAAATTATAATGGTCATTGTTTGTTTGGAGCGATGAATAAAAGAAATGATAAATTCAACATTTAAATGTATTATATTATATGCATGGTATATCCCGATGTCAGTTAGATACGGTTGTTGCGATGCATATTTCTTGCTCTCTCGGTTTGTTGTTGGTTTGTAATTTGAATTTACTTTGTCAGTGTCTTTTAGGAATGCTTTTTTGTCCATTCAACATACTTTACCGCCCAACGCGCTTGTGTTTCCTTAGAGTGATTCGAAACATAATATGCTCTCCTTTTTACAAGGTACTTTTGTTGAACACTATACTAATGATTCATATTCATCAACTAATGAACTGATGCAATTAAAAAGGAATAGTTCTTCTAGTCCTTGATAAATGATTACTTAATTGTACAGGTTTTGATGGTAGACTTCTTCATGGCTGACCAACTTACTAGCCAGGTATATACATTTTTTCTCATGTGCAAGGATCTAAAGTCTACTATAAATTGGGATAAGTAATAATTGAGGCCCAACTTTTTTTTATTACCCCGGAAGGCAAACCACCAAAATCAGTGGGATAAATGTCGGGGGCCATTTACCAGATTATATTAAGGAAATGATAAGAAAGTACAAATCTCGAGGGGGGGGCAAATCAAACCCAAGAAAAAGAAAAGATCAATCAAGTTACAATCTAAAAGAAGGAATGCCAAAAAAATTCATCCAAAAATTGGGTCTGTCCATCTCAACTTATATTTATGTTGAGTTGACTCAATGTGTCACCCACATAAGACACAATCTAATTAAATCTATTATCACACCAAGCAGTACCAACCCATTGAGGCTGTTATATTCAAGACTAAAGTTTCATATGTATACGTGTGTTTATACACATCATAAGACTACAGTAACATATTTTGTTATTTAGTTATAACATTCTCATTTTCACGCTTGTCAATATACAACTTTTGATCGTCATTATATTTAATTTTCTAATAGTAAAATGTAATCAAAGTAGAGCATACGATTAGTATAACAAAATTATCAAGTACTTTGTGATCCGATAACATCATTGTGAAACTCTAAAGAACGAGGGCATATGTTCGTATCTCATCTCATAGGTTAAGAAGTTTAACAAAAACAGAATGAGTCGTACGGAGTATAATCTAAAAAGAAACGTACGTAGTAACATAGTACTCTGTATAATCGAAACGTCGAGAAAAAATTTGTGGAATGTGCACATATGTATAAATATTTATAAACATAAAAAAATGTAGTTAAATTTTAAGTGTTGATCCCCACATTATAAATGTCTTAAACCCTGACCCTATTAAGGTGCTATTTCTGGTTCCACTAATGCCATTTTTCTTTTTAACCATTTAATAAGCTTTTAAGCCTTCTAAAAGTAAACAAGACCTTCAATAGGGAAGTGGACTATATTTGAAGAAAGAAGAAAACAATGAAGTTCAAAAACTACTGTCAATATTGTAATTGTGGTTGCATTTATACAGTATGTAACAATTCATTCTTTTTTACTGTAGATCCCATTGTTGAGGCACATGGAATCCACAGCCTGCTACTTTCTTGCAGGGAGCTTCAAGACACACAAATATGAGACCTGCAAATCCGGACGGATGTACACGGAGCTTGCTTACGCCATCTCCTTCGCGCCATACTATTGGCGGGCAGCTCAGTGCGCGAGGCGGTGGTTGGATGAAGGCGACGCGAACCACCTCGCTAACCTCGGGAAGTACTTATCGGCAATGGTGGCCGCCGGTGCGCGGCTGACGTTCGCCGGACAACCCGAATCGCAGCTATGGCTGGCTATTGTGCTGCTCACTTCAATCATAGCCACCACTTACCAGTTGTATTGGGATTTTGTCAAGGATTGGGGATTTTTCAACCTCAATTGCAAGAACACTTTGCTAAGGGATGATTTGATTCTCAAGAATAAAATCATTTACTATTTTTCAATTGTAAGTTCTTCCCCTCTTTGAAATTGTTTTATCCTTTTTTTCACCTCTAATGACTGGGTATTTTTAGCTTTGTCCAGATAAAAACAATGGTGTAATTATTGACATGCACTCTAAGTGGAAAAATGAGGAAATGACACTAAAGATTGGATTGACCTAATAGTGTGTTAACTATGAGATTTTTTAGGAGCATTCTATAAATAGAAGCTAAAAATGTAAAACATAACTCATTTCTTCTTCTTTCTTCTTTTCTTCATTTTCTAAAAAAAACTCATTTCTTCAAATAATACATTTTGTTGTTTTTCATGAAAACAGTAGTCATATAATTCTAAGAATTATTACGTATTAGCTACTTTAATTTTTTAAGGACTAGTATTGTCATATTTTAGGATGAAATAAAGATAACTCACAATTCTCTCATGGAAATCCCTCCCACCATATGCAACTCATGACATCTAAGCTGGATTATTGTTAACAACCTTGGTACCGTACTTGATAGATTCTTAAGACATTGATGAGTTCATAATGTCTTGGTTGGACTAGTGTTTTTTTAATATAATGGTTGGACTAGTTAATTGGTTCAATTTCATATTTTGGTATGGTTTATCACCTGTATATTATGACCATCATAAAATTACAGGCCCTGAATTTTGTCTTGCGACTGGCCTGGGTGGAGACAGTGATGCGTTTCAATGTTGGAGTTTTTGAGTCACGCTTGCTCGACTTTTCTTTGGCTTCATTGGAGATTATTAGACGAGGACACTGGAACTTCTATAGGTACATATCATATATGTTTAGGCCATAATACATGTGATGTACTCAAAATAATATAATAGAATGAGCCTCAATCTAAAAAATCTATACAATGTCTTTAGACTTCATATGCTTTGTGGTAACTATATATGTGAGAAAACTATATGTCATTATATGTTTGTTAATAGTGACAAATAAAGTTAAGATCCTTGACATTCAATGAGATATAACAATAGTAATGTCAACATCAATATTTTGGCAATGAAGGGAGGGAATTCTATCTCTAATCTCAACACATATATAATATATGATTTGAGTAATAAACTTCAATTGGAGAAATGGTCTTGTACACATAAGAGTTTTGCCTTATAAGTATAATGCAATAAAACCAGAGAAACAATGCAATAAGAGTTTAGCTTCCTAAGTTTCTTGTATTCTGTATATTACGTATTTTATAGTAATAGGAGCATCTTGTCTCAAATAGTTGGTTCTGTTTTGAACTTGTGAACCCCAACACTAATGTGGGATACTTTAACACTTTGCGGAATTGTATATTAATTGATTCATCGGAGAAATACTTCTGATGAGACATGGGGTATATATTTAACAGGTTGGAGAATGAACATTTGAACAATGTTGGAAAGTTTAGAGCCGTGAAGGCAGTGCCATTGCCATTTCGCGAAACAGACTCTGATTGCTGATAAAAGTAATCTCATTGTTGAATAAACTCTATTATTATTATTATCCACATGTAAATACCATAAAGTTGAGTTCTGGATCTGTTAAGCTGTAAAGATCATTATAACACAATCTTAGTTATTGAATTGTTAAAATCTTACTCTCTGGTCGATAGTGATATAATTTCCGCATGATATCAGAATATATTATATAAGCATATGCTTTTAGAATTTTCCTTCCTTTAACATTTCTGTGATCCGTTTGGAGAGGCAATATGCCGTTGACTGGATGGTGATCATGGGATTAACACCAACAGCACCAGGAAGTACACTAGCGTCACAGACAAAGAGCCCCTCCGCTTCCCAGCTCTCTCCGTTCTCGTCAACCACTCCTTCCTTAGCGGTGGTCCCCATTCTACAGCTCCCCATTTGATGTGCAGAAGAATAGATACTAAAGTCCTTCACCATTGACTTTGGGCCCTCAGCTGCCATTACTGTGTCTAAAAATGCCTCCAATTCCTTCTCACTCTTTCCTTTACACTCAACTTTCTGGCCGTTACTCAGGTGTGTCCCCACCTCAACCGCTCCTGCTGCTATTAAAATCCTCAATGCCTGGCGTATCCCAACCGTTAGATTTTCCTTATCCAACACATCAAATGTATAGCTTATCCTTCCTTCAGATCTCACTTCTCCGGTCCCTTTGTCTTTAACCTGTTTATGTTAACTATTAATCATCAACAACAATAACACTCCCTCCATCCTAATGTAGGGTTTTACTGATAAAATTATTGTTTCATGATGAAATTTAATTTGGTATTAATAACTTTTTGATACTTAAAAGTTATTTCAAAAGTTCTATTGAACCACAAAACCGATTTAGAATACAATAATTTTTTGTATACATAATTAGAAACTGAAAATGAGGTGAGTTGTCCACATAACTAATGCATGTCGTTGAATTTGTAGTGCTAATTAATTGTGTTAAATTACTTAACACTATAAATTCATATGCAAAGAAACACAATGACAATCTTTTATGTAGGATTCAATGCCCTTCTTTCCAATTTCCACAACCTTCTTAAGAAATAAGTATCAAAGGAATGAAATTAATTTAAACCAATGATTAATAAGTAAAGAATAGTAATGCAATTATTAAAAAACAAGCAAGGCTAATTAATTACCATTGCGAACAAATGTGCAGTTCTTGAATACTTGAGCATTGTTTCCTTTATGTCCAAACCAGACTTCCACGGGAGAAGTGTGGCAAACGACCCTGGTCCTAGGATGGGAGCTTCTATGATGGCTCGCACATTAGATTCACCATTCCCGACTTTATGCACAGACGTAATTATCCCTCCCTCGTAGTTTTTCCCCCTGACCTCTGTATTGGACTCTGGGAAGTACCCCCACGCCATTAAAACCGGGTGGAGGTGGAGATTTCGTCCTATGTTTGGGTTTGTTAATCCACTAGTGACCATTAGGGGAGGCGTTCTAAGTGACCCACCCGCTGAGATAGTGACCTTAGCCTGGATGCATATTGTCTTTCTGCTGTTCAAGATAGTTGCTATCACTCCCACACACTTCTTGTCCCGTGTTTTCCCGCTCTTTTGAAGTGAAAATCTCTGGGCTTTGCAGCCTGTTAAGATCACGGCCCCACACTTCACGGCATCAACTAGCCAATTGACATCAGTCCCCTTCTTGTCCCCTCTTCTACAACCATAACAGCAGGACCCACAGTAGTGACCTGGGGAAGAGTTTCGTGGAACGGGTTCAACTTCAAGACCGAGGTTCTCACACCCTTTCCTCAGAATCTTGTTTTGGAATCCTTCGTTAGAACAACCCTCCGTTACGCCGATTCTTTCACAAACTTTATCCATGGCAGAAATGTACTCAGGGCTTGAAAAGAGTGAGATTTTGTGATTCTTGGACCATTCTTGGATTGTCGACATGGGAGTTTTAATGCAGGCCGACCAGTTAATGGCAGAGCCACCGCCCACGGTTGAACCTGCCATAACCACCACTTTTCCGTCAATGGTTGAGAGGATCCCTCCATTTTCATATAACTCGTTCATTGAGGGGCCTTCCAGAGATGAATAATCAGACTTGGTGAAATAGTTTCCTTTTTCAAGAACTAACACTTTCTGGCCCGAGCCTGCAAGAATGGCTGCAGCCACTGCCCCACCACAGCCCGAGCCGACGATTACAACATCACACTCGATATTAATGTGATTCTGTATGGGATCTATTGTCACTTTTAGACCTTTTTGGAGAAGAGAATTGACCAAAGTTGATTCATTTCCATTTCCAGTTTCAACTATCCCTATCTGAAGAGGTCTTTCTTCCTCTGATTTCTTCTGTGACAAGTTCTCGGAATAGTTATCCACTTCGTATCCCATGGCTTCCCATGTTGGATTCTTTGAGTCTTCACCCACCTATGATAAAATTTAAAAGACAACTATGGAGTTATGGATTCATCTAGCTACCAAGTTAAGATTACAACATTCTCGGTTTGTTAGCCGATTCTGGCTTATTCTTTCTTCTTTTTTTACAGTAATTCTGGCTTATTCTTAATAGAATAAGTGTTTCGTAACATGTTTGGTTAATAGATGGATGACACTAAATATTTTCTTCCTTAAATTATTATATTCATCCACCACTCAAATGACTCCTTTTGGCCTTACGGGTCCATTAGCTTAAAAGGTTTAGCTAAAAACAGCAATATGGCCATTAATTTCATTGGGAGTGTTTGGCAGAACATACTATACCAATGCTCATACTTATTTTGACAAACGACATCTATCTATAACTTTCCTTTTTTGTCTACCAAATAATAACACACTTTCCATTAAAGGAAGGGAAAAGATTAATGGCTAAGATGGAAGCCTTGTGGCTACTAACAATAAATGCCAATTTATAAAGATAAATACCTTTTATTCAAAAATACTTGTTTCATTTTTCTTTTCGGGTGATTTCAATGTCACTCCATATTTTGAAATGGACCTTAACAAAAAGCTTCTACAATGCACCTTTGTGTGTGCGGTATTACACTAGTATCTAAAAACTCTATTTTTTCTTAGCGCTATACACACCTTGTTAAGCTACATGAAACTCCTATTAGGATGAGTTTCTTGAAACATGTGGAGTATAGTGTAATGGCAGCCAAACTCACTATTAAACATATTTGAACAGGTTAGCAGTTTGGGTGTGATTTGAGAAGACTATATAATATGGCAAATCTTCTAGAACTTGATGTTGTTACGATATACTTCGTACTCTTAGGGGTGGGCACAAAATACCGTAACCGCTTAACCGAATAAAAAAACCGAAAAATCGGTGTATTTTTCGGTTAACCGTACCGATTTTGTAAAAAGTCGCAGTACGGTTAATTGACCGTTGAGAACAAACTGTTCATGGTACGGTTAGGATTTTAAGATTATGTTAATCGGTTAACCAATAACTAAAATTTCAAATAATATATGTATTGTATCATACGGTGTGATACTGATTTCCTCTAGAGTTATGCTCTTGCTTCCCAGTTAGTCCATACTTCGTTGAAGAGTTGAAGACGACCGTACCGTTACCAAGAGGATATCTGGATATGCAGGCATCATTTACGTGGAGCAATATTATGGTCAAGGAGATATTTCTAGATTTTTCCATATGTGTTATTAATCATTCCCTTATTTTTTTAGTAATTATAATTATTCATTCCTTCTTTACTTTGCTTAGCACCGTACGTATGTATATATGCTTAGATTAGATGAATCCTGCGAGATGTCCAAAACTATACACATAAAATAATACACTTCATTTTACTTCTCAATTTATTTATTTATTTATCACTGGAAGTGTTATCATGCCCAATTAAAAAATATAGGTTCAACATTTACAAACAATTAGAATAATCAAGCCTTTATCTTTTGCTTTTATGGTTTATTGGTTAACCGATTAGCGGTTAACCGAAAATTTGGTTAACCGATACGCGGTTAACCAATGCTATGATATGGGTACGGTATTGAAAATTTAATAACCGGGTATATCGGTTAACCGCAAATTTGGTTAACCGAAATCTGGTTAACCGGCCGTGCCCACCCCTACGTACTGTAGTATATCATATGCACAACAAAATATATTAAAATAAAAATTAAAAATCTCAACTACAATTATAGATCAAACACTAATTCTAACTTTCTAAGAGCATCTCCAATGCTAAAACTAGGGATGGACTAAACCGGGATGGCCCGACCCTGAACCGGCCCGACCCGTTACTGTTTGAGACCGGACCGAACCGGGACCGGTTGGTCGGTTCCGGGCTTTTAGCCCGTTTGGGCGGGTCGGGCGGGCTGGGCTCGGGCCCAACTTTTGGTGAACCGGCCCGGGCGGTTCGGGCCAGGCCCGGTTCAATTTTTTTTGCTTTTCTAAGTTAGGGTTGGGTGTTTTGGGGGGGTTTGGGGGTGGGGGTGGGGGGGGGGGGTCGGGTGTTAATTAGAAACCAAAAAAAAATTGAACTTGACCCGGGCCTGGACCCGGTATCAACCCGGGCCGGTTCCGGGCCCAACATTTTGCAAAAAAAGCCCGCCCGGGCCCGGCTCGGAACCGGAACCGGACCGGCCCGGGTCCATCCCTAGCTAAAACGTTAACGGTTCATACGTGGCATGAGAAATAACCAATTAAAAACAATAAACAAAATATCTCTCTCCTTATTTGAAGGATCTTACATTATTTTGGAAAGTTTTTCTTTCCAATGTCAAGCACAATGTCTACATGTAGACATTGTAGTTGACATTGCAGACAAAAACTTACCAAAAACACATAAGACCGTGGAAAGAATGAGATAGAAATGTCATAAAATCAATATTTTGTGTCTCTCTCTCTCATGCCACATGTGTATCGTGCACATTGTAGCATTGGAGATGCTCTAAGGCTCCTACGGTCACGGTTGAGATTTAGGATTCCTTTCTAAAAGACCAAGATGATATGAGTAATAAGAGATCTTTATAGTTTATATAGTACTGCATCCGTCTCATTAACACCGAGACATGAGGAGGTGACATGAGACTA